AGATTCCAGGGCAGTTTTTGTCTCTCTTTTTCTACCATTCACACATCTGGGGCTGTGTCTCACAGAGGATAAGCACTAGCTGTGGGGTTATACTGAGTGAAGTCAGAATCCAGTGTCTGCCACTTGCTTGCTCCCTAATCCTGAACAAGGATCAAACTTTTTAAGCCTGACTCCACTCTGAAATGAGACGTGAATGAAATATTTTGTGGCTAAATGAAGTAGAGTTTTGGTGAAGTTCTCATGAGAATGTGCATTTAAATCATTCAGCACGGTGCTTACTTTTTGTAGATTTTAACCATTATCACTAGTATCATTATTCTGAATGAATGAAAACTAATTCAAGCATCCTTTTTGTCTTTTACCCTGCTACTTCATTTTTTGATACCTACTTCTTTTCCTATTTCTACACTCTTCCCTTGAATCATCTGAACCATGTTTCAAAACATCTCAGAAGGCCTGTGGGATTCATTCTTGGTATGTATTACATTATCATGATCTAAAAGAGCTCACTTTCTCTGTAATAAAAAGTCATCTACTGTCATTCATTAGTAGGTAGAGTCACAAAAATTTGAATTTTCATAACTGTTTTATTGTTGCAGGTTTTACTGTATTAGTTTTTGCAACTCCATAAAGGTGACTTTAAAATATTTCCCTTGGGGCCGGCATTGTGGTGCAGTGGGTTAAAGCCGCTGCCTGCAGTGCTGGCATCCCTTATGGGTGCTGGTTCGAGCACAGATGCTCCACTTCTGATCCAACTCTCTGCTATGGCGTGGGAAGGCAGTAGAAGATGGCCCAAGTCCTTGGGCCCCTGCACCCACGTGGGAGACCTGGAGGAAGCTGCTGGCTCCTGGCTTCGGATCAGCTCATTTGGGGAGTGAACCAGTGGATGAACCTCTCTCTCAGGCTCTAGATCTCTCTGTAAATATGTTTTTCAAACAAATAAAATGAATCTTAAAAAAAAATTCCCACTGATAATTGGGAAAATGGGGATCACATATCATGCTACAATGGTTATCTGGTTTCCTTGAAAATTAAAATATCTTTTTAAAACTAATTTTTGCATTTGCTTAATCTGAATGTTGATGTGTGTGGAGATTATATGAGACCATGCCAATGGAGGGAGCAGGGAAAAGTCCTAGGCCTGTTTCTTAGACTTGCAAGAATATATTCTGGGGTGTTTGAGAGGATAAGCAATTTAAGGCTGAAGCTAAAAATATGACTATCTAAAGCCATATGATCTCAAAGGCTATTAGAAATGGCCACAAGAAAGGAAAACTATATATAGGATTGTTGTGTTCTGTGAATAACTGAACGAGAATGTGATCATCATTTTTCACTTCATAGCTTCAATTTGGCATCCCCTTGTTAAAATGTTCAGACTTGTTAATATCAACCTTTTAAAATATAAAAATATACAATAAATTGTGGAAATGGGAAGCCAATTTTGTCAAAAAATTTCTAAATAAGTATGTGTTAAAGCAACATGGATAATCTAGATATTCTGAGCAAGTCTTACTTTATGCCTAGGAATTCAATTGAAGTTATTTTTAACAGAGCTTAGTTAGACCTCTTCCTATGATGCATCCTTTCCCCAGTTCACCTTTCTCACTGTCATGCTCAGTGTGCACAGATTTACATATTGTTTAATTGTGGCATATTCCTAGGCCTACACAGAATGTCAAGCCACTGCGGCAGCCATTTTGTTTTCTCTTGGTGAGCCAAGCATTTTCTGTTTTACTGATAGGATAGTCTTCATTAAAGTTCTTTTATAAAAATGCTATCAAATTCATATTTTTACTAAGCTTAATGATTATACAAGCCTATATCTGGAAATTTTTAAACTAGCATAGAGGAATAAACTATGACAAAAATTTGGTTGTTAAAATTTGTAATAATGGATTTTGAAGGAAAATCCAAACAAGGTTTTGAGAAACCCTGAAAACCAGCCTCCAAAGTTGTTTCTTTTTTAAAAAAGTATATTTTTTGCTAATATAATGAGGCTAATTCAACACATCAGTGGAGAGCAAAATTAAAAGATAAATTTGTTTGGGTGTAAAGATTTTGAAATTCCTGCATAGTTTTTTTCATAGCTGATATTTCCCACAAATTTCTGAAGATCTCTCATATTTACAGAAATAATGAATTTGAAATAAACTATAACTATAGTTTAGACAAATTCCTGTTATATAAATTATAAATATAATGTAATTTGTTTGCACACAAACTTTGTAAAAACATTCTCCTATGGCCGTTCTATGGATTTTATATCCTTGGAATTATATGTTAAAAGTCAAGCCTTGGATAAGTTAACAGTCTCAAGTCATGGTGCAGAGGAATATAGAAATACCGAAGTCCTGATCTTCTGGCCCCATCCATGCTGTTTCTAACTCAACATTCAGTTATTAGAGTGACAATTTTCTCTTTAACATACAATTCTGTTACCAGACCTATGTTAATGGTTGGCCAGACTATTGTTTTGCACTTTACTTTAGTTTTAAATGAATAGTTTGACAATCTGAGAATTATATTGACATCTGTATTTTTCTAATGAGAGGGCTTACAGATTTATACATGATTAGATTTCTCCATTGGTTAGAACTATATCTCAAGATTGCTAAGGTCATAAATTTGACCTCCGTTTGAAGCTTTTGCATTTCTTTGTTTAGATCTAGGTCTTTACAATGAATGAACAGTTGTATCAAGAAACTTGTGGTTACTTAATTTATCAGACAGTAGAACTGAAATACTAAAAATACTGAATATTCATTCATACAGTCATGAAATCATGCTATGGCTTTCTTGTTTCTGTCATACTTTCGTCACAATGTGAAAGCATTCCTAACCTGATGTTGTTAGCCTTCCCTCCACTTACCTACCCCCCTAAAAAGACTAATCTTCTCTACAGTAATAGTGGTAGTTCAGCAGACAGGATGACAGGGCTCAGTGGGATTTACTAACTCTTTCATTTTACAAATAAAGGCACTGTAAGAGTTGAGAGGTTGTGACCACTCATAATATGACTGTCTGTAAGTGGTAGACCCTGGGAGCATGTATCCACAAATTTCTCTAAGGCAGTCCAATAGCACTTGTAACTCAGTCTTAGATAGGAAGCACTCACAATACCAGATGTGAACAGTGTAACTGTTTTGACAGATATTTTTTGATATACGAATACTCTTTTCCTCATGCCCTGTTATTTAAGCAAGATGTTCATAAACCTGCAATTTTTATATTCTAAGAAACATCTTTATCCTAAAATTCCCAAATACATTAACTCCTAGTAGTCAGAATATTTTGAAAATATATTGACCTTAGCTGAAATTTCTCTCTGCAGAAATTATAATTTCATACCTTATTGAACCACATAGCACTGGTTTATTTGTGGTTTCTTTTAGCCAACTATCAAGGAATCTTCTGTTACAATTTTCATGCATAGGAGACAGTCAATAACTGTTTAATTATATGAGTTATTCAGTTTGGGGCTTGTTTTTCTTTACATTATTTACCAACTTCTGACATATTATATTTCTATTTGTTTACAGATTATCTATTTACTAGGTAAAATTTAGCTTCATAAGGAGAAAGGGCTTTTCTTGTTTCTGCTGATTTTTTTCTCTTTTCATATTATTCTTTCTTTACATTGTGCTTAAGACATTGAAAGTATTTAGCACATTTGTAATGATTGCATAAAGGAATGATGTTTTAGCTGTGCTTGTTTTTGCTATATTGCATCTATCGTATTTTTTTAAACTGAAATGTTCTGTATTTCATTTGGGAAGCTGAACTTCCTAAATTTTCTGCAGAATTTTTCCAAAAAAAAAAGTACACTCCCATGAAAAACATATTTATAACATGAGGTAATTAATTTAAGTGGAGATTGGCAGAGGAATTTTACCTTTAATATTAACTGTATACTATAATTATTTTATTCAAAAGGAAACTCACAGATGATCTAAACCCCCCTCTAGTTTAATCACAATCACACTCTTACACTTCATTTTAATCACAACCTATTCTAAAGTTCACTTGAGAAACCTTTTAAAAGTTTTCAGCAGCATACATAAAATTCACCAAATCTTGTCCCTGTGAACCTCTCTTATTTCTATTATTTAGAGTATATGTAATCATTAAAAGTGAATAGTGTTTTTTTTTTTTTTCCAGATAGGGACAGGCTGTCATTTTCTGACTTTTCCTTATTTTACAATCTTTGCAACTGTTCTGAAGTTAATCCAAACTGATCATCTGAGATCATGAACTACAGACTTTGTATTTCTTATAATGTGATAGATAATGTACCAGCGGTTTAAAATGAGTTAATTTGAAAGAAAATGAATTTTCAACACACCACATTAGGACAGAAGAAAGCATAATTAAAGTGCAAATTTAACTTTGGCCACAAGAACAAAAATCTAAAAAATAAACAAGGTTTACACCAAATATTTTAGTTTTCTGACTAACAATGATCAAATCCAAAGCAATTCTCTCAGTTATAAGAACAGAGAGCGATGGATGATTCCCTCTAGTTTAATTTGCCATTATTCTGAGTTACTATAGGATTTGAAAAATAAATTTAAATGGTTTGATTTTTACATGGCTATGGTTATTTTATGTATTGAATCACTAATTCTTCAGCGTAAATTGTACTTGCCTTTAAGAAAGTATATATTTTAAGACAATGAGAGTGATTATATAGAGCCAATGAGACAAGTGGAAACACTTTAAAAGAAAAACACCAATCCAGAGAATAAATCATGGACAGGAAGTCACTAAAATCTAGATTTCTACAACTTAAGGCTACATTTCTCAGGCTGTATTTGGGAGCAGGTCCAACACAGCTTGTAAAATATTTATTGAATTTTGGGTGTGAAGTCTTCCTGCTACAATAATCACAACCTGTGTGAAATATCCCTGTGTCCCAAACATTAATGAATACTATTTTCTGAACAACAACATTCCATGGCAGTGAAAAGTTTTTATATTTTCTATAGTAACACATTTACCCAGGACCCATGGTAATATCATCCATTCGACGATGGTTGGTGGTGGACCTTGCCTGTTCAAGTCTGACCTGTCGATGTGCTGAGAGGCAAGCAGCAGGAGGAACAAAAAAGTCAAATAGGAGGCTGTGTGGCAGATAAACTTGATAAATGGCTTTCTGATGAACAGTCCCAGCGGACTTTTAGGAGCTATCAGGTAGCACACGGAGAAGACAGGGAAAAGCAGTCCTATTATGAAACATGTCACCATCTTCACTGCCCAATGTCTCCTCCTCCAGCCAGGAAATTCATCATACCAGCGAGATGCGAGCAGCTGTTGACAATTGGGCTGGGCAACAAACTAAAAGGAAAAGGAAGGGGAAAGAAACATAAGTTAGTGCTTCATGTAATTGTTTGGTTCAGCAATAAGAACACAGATCAATTTTTAAAAACTGAAATTTTGCTACACAAAATCTTGTATTTCAAAAAGTGTTTTAAGTCATTTTCTGAATGAAGTCAAGTATTAAACATTTATTATAGGGCATAGTGCTCTGTGTTTTGTAAGATGCAATCAAAGTCACAACACTATGGCTGTACTTGAGAAAATAAAGCTAGAACTTGGAAGGAGAACTATACATATAAGATGTTAATTAGTGAACAAAACTCACAGAAATAGACACACGTATATAACATATATGCATAAACATATATAAACACACATAAACATATATATTTAAATAAGATAACATATACAGCAAAGTTAAAAATCTAACGTGACTATATCTTGATTTTGGGTTATTTTTTAGTTATGGAATTATCCTCAATTTTACTCTTTCTAAAATGAACATTTACTACTTTTGCCACTTTCATTTGCGTTGAATTGTGTTCAAGTGTATTGAATCAATATGAAAAACATGAATAAAAATATTATGAACACTAGAATGTTAATCATAACTGAATACAGTAGGAACAATGCCTAAAGATAATCAATTACCACAAAGCATTTCAGAAGCATGACATTGTACCACCTTGGCGACATCTCTGAGATGTAATATAGACATTACTCTATTTTAAGGATGAAGACAAAAAAGGTTTATTAGAAGTCCCTAAATTTATCCAAGGCTAAATATCTGGTGAGTGAAGAGATGCTTGAATATCTTGCAACAGAACATTATTGTCCACACAATACCTTTCTCATTGAGACTGAAAGCTAAGCATTATGAATTAAAATGGAGTTTTCTTGGATGGGTGCAATAGAACTGCACGTTAAGCTGCTACTTGGGAAGCCCGCATCTTATATACTATTTCCTGGGATTGAGGCCCATCTCTGCTTCCTAGTCATCCTCCTGTTAATAAGCCTGGAGGCAGCAGATGATAATTCAAGTACTTGGGTTCCTGTCACTGATGTGGGAGACCCAGATGGAATTCCTGCCTCCTGGGGGTATTTGAGGAGTGAATCAGTAGGTGGGAGATTTTTCCCTCTCTCCCTTTCTCTCTCTCCCCCTCTCCCCCGGCCTTTCACATCAACCAAAAAAACCAATCAATCTTGTTAAATAAAGGAAAATTTCTCTTCCAGAAGGAATATTCTCTGTGGACATATTTGTATACAAAGAGAGACAGCTGTACAAGAGAAACTATGGAGGGAAAGTAATAGCATATACTAGGGAGAAAGTGTACGGATTTAAGGAATACATTATGGGCAGTTTTGATTGAAGTAGAAATTTAAATGCCTTGTAAAACATGTGAGAAAGTTCTTTTGGCATCATAAAATAGACTTCATTTAAAAAATTTTGGAGCTGGCATTGTGGTGCAACAGTTTATGTTGCTACCTCTGACATCAGCATTCTATATTAGCCCCAGTTTGAGTTCTGGGTGCTCTGCTTTGGATGCTGCTCCCTGGTAATGAGCCTGAGAAAACAGTGGAAGATGACCCCCTGATACCAACATGGGAGACCCAGATAGAATCCCAGGCTCCTGGCTTTTCCCTGGTCCAGCCCTGGTTCTTGGAGACATTTGGGGACTGAACCAGCAGATGGAAGATCTTTTTCTATGTCTCTCCTTCTCTCTGTAAATCTGCCATTCAAATAAATAAATGCATTTTTAAGAAAAAGATGTATTTGTTTTATTTATTGAATAAATATTTATTTATTTATTGAAAATACTGAGTGACAGAGAGTGAAAGAGAGTTGAAAGCAGGGAGAGAAACAGAGCTTCCATTCACTTGTTCACAGATAGGAGCCTGGCTGAAGCCAGGAGCAAGGAACTACATCTTTGTCACCCACTTGGGCAGCAGGGGCCCATATACTTGGGCCACCTTCTGCTGCTTTCTAAGGTACATTAACAGGAAAGCTGATCAGAACTAGAGTAGCTGGGACTTGATCCACCAATCCAATAGGAATTGTGGAGTCTCAAGCTGTGGCTTAACCAGCTGTACCACAACATTGGCCCTAAGATGGACTTACCCATTAAATACACTGAATACTTGATCCTTTCATAGGATCTCACTCCCTAGTCCAAATTTGTATGACACTTTAGAATCTGTCCTTTTCCTTTTGAGATAGTACATAAGCAAGCAGTTCCAAGATAAACAAAGGAAAATGCTGTGCTTGAGGATGAAAGAAGAGGTGGGATCATTGACTAAGTAACAACTCGGTAGTTGGAAGTTCAAGCATTTTGCTTGAATGCATAGTAATTCCTTATGCAACTACTTTTCTTCAACTTGTCTTGTATCCCTACTCTTTAAAGTATGTGGTGGATGAAGAAATTTATAATACTGCCAAGTAGGTTTTTAATAATGAGTTAAGTTCTTTGCCCATTTCTTACCTGGATTTTTTAAATTTTGTTTTGTTTTACAATTAAGGTAAGAAATGGGCAAAGGACTTGAACAGGCAGTTTTGCAAAAGAGGAAATTCAAATGGCCAGCAGACACATGAAAAAAAAATGCTCAAGATCAATAGCCATCAAGTAAATGCAAATAAAAGCCACAATGAGTTTTCACCTCTCCCCAGTTGGAATGGCTCTCATACAGAAATCAACAAAACATGAATACTGATGAGGATGTGAGTAAAAAGGTACCCTAACCCACTGTTGATGAGCATGCAAACTAGTACAGCCATTGTGTCAGATAGCATGGAGACACTTCAGAAAGTTGGAAACAGATCTGCCATGTGACCCAGCAATCCCACTCCTGGGAATTTACTCAGGGGAAATGAAACCAGTATGTGAAAGTATTATCTGTATCCCTATGTTTACTGCAGCTTAATTAACAAAAGCCAAGATAGAGAATAAACCCACATGTCCATCAACTGATGACTGGATAAATAATTATGGCATATATACACTAAGGAATACTACTCAGCCATAAAAAAGAAACGTTGTCTTTTGCAAAAAAATGGATGCAACTGGAAACCTTTATACTTAGTGAAATAAGCCAGTCCCCAAAAAACAAGTACCACAAGTTTTCCCTGATCTGTGGTAACTAACAGTGTACAAAAATGTAATGTACATGGGTGAAATGGAGATTTTGAGATTTGATGGTTGTTTACAGTTCTTGTCTTGACTGTTGAGGAACAGTGATTTTTTTCCCTCATAGTATTTGTTGTACTCTTTATTTAGTCTAGGATCAATCTTATGAGTATAAAGTAAACTGAAAATAGATCATTGTAAAAACTGAGAGGAGCAATAGGAGAGGAAGGAGGAATAAGGGTGGGAGTGTGGGCAGGAGGGACAGTAGGATGGGAAGCATCACAATGTTCCTAAATCTATTTATGAAATTTGTGTTCCTTAAGTAAAAGAAAAAAGGATAAAATAAAAAACAAACAACCAATCAAAAATAATGAGCTAAGAAACCACAGATAAAACAGAATGAAAGAGCACTTGATAAGCTGAGCATTACTTCAAATAATCCACAAAAATTAAGAGATGTACAGATGGACAGACAGAAAAGTTACAGAGAGGGAGCAAGGAAGAGAAAGAAGAGGTCCTTCTGAAGGACAACCTCAGAGGGGGGCCACTTGTCTCCATGACAACAGCCACTGGTTCATCTCAGCAAAGCCCACCCCAGCTGGGCTGGCACATCCTGAGGCATGCTGGGAGCCTTCTGCTTCTGCCTCTTCTACTCCATCTTTCTACTGCATAATGAGTCACAGGAAATTCTGTCTTCTATACCATTCCAGGGGTGGGAAAAGGGGGGTTTATCTTCATTACAGTATCTTCTCTTCTACACTTGTTAGCCAATTCCAACACAGGTCCAGTCATCACATTAAGATGCATATCAAAACTTAATAAACATTGAAATTAACAGTTGTTGCGGCATTTATGAAAATAATGTGAAAAAATTATCTTCTTGTCCTGGGACTGTAACCATTGAAGACATTGTGAACAATATTGAGTCTAATCTCATTTTTACAAATAAGGAAAGTGAAATTTGGTATCAATACTTTCAAAACAACTACTCAAGCTAGTAAAATCCAAAATCATAAATGTAACAGGAAAAAAAGATGAGGAGAAAGAAGATAAATGTTAAAAGTAAAGAAATGAAAAAAATCCAACCAAACAAAAATCTCACCACCACATAGACAATAATTAAGATATTGTCTTAATTAAGATACTGGATGTTGACAAATTGAGTTCAAATAATTCAAAAATTATTGTAGGCATAACAATTAAAATTAGTATATATCAAATTTCTTTGGTTCTTCCTTCAACTTTTTAGTTTTTCAAAAAACTTGTATAGTTTTCAAAACTGTGTATCCAAATTCAGATTGTGGCTGTACTCTCTGAAAGAGGAAAATCTGGGAACAGCCATTCCGGTACTTTGTCCATGTGCATTCAGTGAGACATAGTAGTTTCAATTAGCTGCAGGCTGATAATAGACTTGAACATTTTGGATAGATTGTATTACAGTGATTTACATAAGGACAATATGATTCTATTGCTCTACAAGGACCATGTAAACACATGACAGTTTCATCTGTGTTTTGTAGCTTATTCCATGAATACTCTAAAAAAAAAAATCTATATGCCTTGGATTTCCATTGTCTCAGCCAAGTAATGTTTTCTAACAACTCATTTTTCAATGCTGATAGCAAACCTTAAGGATAATTTATATGCAGAAGAGCTTCCGGGAATTATTTTGACTACAGCTAAACAAACCTTTCTTATATTTCAGCCCCTAAATATCTTCATAGCTGTCAATGTCTGGATTTCTCCCTGCTTCTTCAAGATAGTGCTGGTTGTGTTCATAGTTAAAATAATTCTTCTGAACTCCCTGAGCATAGTTATTCCACGTGAGTAATCAGAACTTCCTACTTCATGAATGAAAGCATCTATTTTCACTTGGTCCTTCCAATTTAATTAACT